TTGGTGAGATGCCACAAACACTGCAACACTGAGTGGAAGTTGTAGCAGTGGAAATTATGGTCTGCACTTTCCCATCAATCATAGTGATATCTATGATATGATGTACATCTAATGTCTGTCCAGCAATTATCACTTTAGAAACTGGGAGTGTTTTGATGTCATTTTTAATTGACTCAAATTCTTCTAAGACTACTTCCTTTGTTTCTTTGATGTATTTAAACCGGACAGGTCTGCAAAAAATAGGCGACGAAGGTTTATGATTCCTCCAAACAAGCTGCCGCTTGGCATCTGTAAAAAAGTATAAGTCTAATGGCACTAAGCATGTAATAAATAAAGATACTTCATTGGCTAAACTCCTGCCAGCCTCATCTGTACTCGACTGCTTATACACTGACAGACCAGTTGCACCATCAAATCCTATTTTTGATCTAAGTGTAAGTTTTTTAAAGATTTTAAGGGAATCAGCAGTCAGCACTTCTATCTGAGAATCACAAAGTCGTTGTGATGTGTGCTGAAGTAGAGACTGCAACGGAATTTCTGCTGAGTAATCAGAGATTATAACATCATCTGGATAACATCTGTCTTTTGCACTCTTTAAATCATGGTATGTTGGATAAATAGCTGAATCTAGATCCAAAGCATTGTTGCGGAGAAGTTGGTATGTTGCCTTTGACAGATTAGCATCTAAGAAGAGTGCTAGTGCTTTGTCAGAAAAAAGACTTGCTTGAGGGGTATATAAAATACTTTTGACACTGATAGCCTCTGCATTTCTCCCATCTTTTTTTAATGACCTTGAAGCTGCATATAATATTTCGTTAGTAGAGTACATATGTATAATGTTAGAAACTTTTCTGTCCTTTGATCGTATTGAAGATTTGTTAAAAGGTGTTTCTGGTCTTCCACCATAATTTTTTTCAGGAGTAACAGCTTTTATTAGTTTAAAAGAAATAATAGCATCTAGCCAAGTAGCATATTTATTTTCAAATTGAGTATACTCCCTTTTTACAGTTGTCATTTTACGTTTGTATTGATGAACAAATAATGATAATGTTGGCTTTATATCTAAAAATGTGTTTGGTGAAACATTTTCCACATACTCAACCAGTTTACAAAGTAAATCATTTTTATTACAGTCAGTTTCTTTAATATAAATGTATAACTGTCTTCTATTCATCTAAAATTAAAAAGAACATCTATTAATATAAGAATAGATAATATAATAATATATATAATAATGTGTGTATATATATGTATATATATATATATATATATATATATATATATATATATATATATATATATATATATATATATATATATATATATATATATATATGTATATATATATATATACATATATATATATATATATATATATATATATATATATATATATATATATATATATATATATATATATATATATATATATATATATATATATACACATATATATATATACATATATATATATATATATATATATATATATATATATATATATATATATATATATATATATATATATATATATATATAGAGAGAGAGAGAGAGAGAGAGAGAGAGAGAGAGAGAGAGAGAGAGAGAGAGAGAGAGTGAGAGAGGGAAAGAGAGAGAGAGTAGATTAAATGTACAAACAAAATAATGAGCATGTGTTTGTTAAAAACTAGGCAACCTACTGTAATATTTTATGCCCAATATGAACAGATATATACAAAAGGAATATATTGTCTAATAATATTTTTTTATTATTATTATTATTATATTTTCTTTCTTATTATTATGTTCTCTTAAATATTCGCCAATAAATAGTATAGTCCGTCCGGACTATAAAAATTATATTAATGAGATAACAACACGGCCGGTTTATAAAAATTACAATTATTACATATTAAAATCATTGCTCACTCTAGACTGGCAAAAACTGGCAAAATATTTTGCTTGATAATAGTAGTACACATCAAGTACTTATGAAAACAGCTGCAACATATCTTTAATATTGCTTAATACACTACTATTTAAACACCAACAAAGAAAAAAAGAATTTACATAATTTAAAAAACAGCCTGTACAGTTAGGCATAAAAAAATACTGTTATATTTTTTATAATGATATTTTGAGGATAAATTATACATCTATATACAAATTCAAAAAATATAGCATAAAATTTTCCTACCTTTTAAAGCAGGAAGCATGTAAAAATAAACGGCAATATTTAGAAAAAATAATGAATAATTTTCAACATTGCTTGCTGACGGAACTGGAGTAGTTTGCGGCCAAGTATTTCTATTTAATCATAATCTATTATCATAAATAATATTATTTTCGTATATTAGACTTATTTAACCTATATTAAAAAAAAAAAAAAAAAAGTTTTTTTAAACTTTATGTTTTAGGTTTTGCCGACTTCTGACCCACTGTGCAATGTAGGGAAAAAATAAAAATAGTAGCTTCTCAGTTTGATAAAGTATCAACAAGTGTTCTACATCTTAATATTTATACTTTTTCTGGAAAGATTTTTAAAACGCTTGTGCTTTATGCTTTATAATAATATTAAATCAAAAGATTCCAAAGATTTCAAAAGGTCTACTCAAATACTATCATGTACTAAAATCAGAAAGTGTAAAAAAATCATATATAAAGTTGTTAAAAACAAGTTTATAAAATGAGAGATAAATTAAAAGTAATTTCCTAGACATTATTATTATTATTCCAGTTTAACAAAAAGAAAAAAGATGTGAAAAAAAAAAATTGACTAGCTAAAATAAAACTAAAATCAATCTTAAAAACAAAGTGATATACTGAAACAAAAATACAATTCAGCAAAAAGAAAATTATAGTTATAAAAATTATAAAAGTAACCCTTCATATATACAAGTTCAAAAATAAAATTTTCAAAATGTTAAATATACTTTTATTTAAAAAAATTACAATTACGCGAGTAATTGTAGTTTTTTATAAAAATTAAGATTACTCATGCAATTGTAATTTTTATAAAAATGATAAAAATTACATGAGTTTGACAAATCACTGTCAAACTCGTGTCTGGTGTTTAAGAACAGGGCAAACACCAGACACGAATTTGACGGTGATTTGAATTTCGCGCGTACGTATGGCTGCCTTTATTTGGTACAATTGAGAGGCCGTATTATGTACCTGGAGAGATAGATAGATACTACAGACCTCTGTTTCAAACAACGTCAAAATTACATTTGTGAAAAGAGATGGATATATCAATGCCTCCAATATTTGTGTACGTAATCCCCAGGTTGATCTTTGATGTGCAGTATGTACGGCATGATTGACAGTCTTGACGCAAGCGTAGTATGTACGGCAAAGTTTTTTTATCCATTTATTTAATTAAATAAAATGAAAAAAAACTTTGCCGTACATACTACGCATGCGTTTATGGTTAATTAACCATAAAATCAAAAATTACAAATTTAATTGTAGTTTACAAATTTAGGTTCGATGTCACTCATATTAAAAACTAGTCAATGGAGCAACACCTTAATAAAATAAACAAATAAAATAAAAAAATATTAAAAAAAGGAAATAATAAAGAAAGTAAACTACATTAATACAAGTAATAAAAAAAGAAGTATAAGGGACAATAATATTTAAAAAGTTGGAACTAGAACAAAAATATAAAGGAGTAAAGCTAATGAAAAAAAAAATGCTTGGAGCAGTTTTACTGCTGTTTTTTAGGGTTCCCTCTCAAACCTAAAAACTATGTGGAATTGGTGCAGACTCTCGTGAAGAATTACAGCAAAATGAGATGCAGCATGTCTCATCTCGATAAATTCAAGGAGAACTTGGGCGACTACAACGTGCAAAGCGAGCAAGGCGACTCCAATAAGCAGGGCGTGCGCTTTCATCTAAATCTATTGGACATCGTTATCAAGGGCAATATAAAGAAAACATGATGGGGGACTACGTTTGGGGTCTACTTTAAGAGAGTGATTCGCAGTATAACTGTAAATCTAGAAAATTTGAAAATTTTGAAAACTTTTTGCGTAGTTTCCGACTGTATCTATTCTTTATGCAATTTTTATTCCTACCTAATTATAATGACGAAAATGAAAAAAAATACTCGTTCTATTTTCAAAACTAGTCAATGGAGCGTAAAACCAAGTTAAATAACAGCATATAATTAAGTAAAAATGACCTGTCTAAAATCCCAACTAATCAAAGTTACCCAGAAAGTCATTACTTTTTAAAAACCATGTTGCAAACTGTTGGAATAAATTAGTGCATGATGTAAACTCTTTTAAAAATTTTTATAATCCTATTTTGACTGCAGCAATGTCAACCGCCAGTATATAAATGTCTGGAGTTGCCTTCCTTTATCAATATTAAACTTTTTATGTGTAAGTTTGATAGATTGTAATAAATAAATGTCTAATGTTTTTTAGTTTTCAGCTGTATTTCCGCTAAAATGTTGCTTTACAAGCTATAAGGCACTAGACGTTCAGCTCATCCTACGCTACTGTATATATATATATATATATATATATATATATATATATATATATATATATATATATATATATATATATATATATATATATATATATATATATATATATATATATATATATATTCATTCATAGGTATATTTCTGAGTTAATTTTTTAAATTTAGAAACATTTTTAACAGATGAAAATGAATTTAAATTGCTGCACAATGTTGACATTAGTTAATATATAAGTTTTATTTTGTTCTTTAAAAAGAAATACATTCTCCGTTCGCAAATCAAAAATTCAAAAAAATTGTAGTTTTATGAACACCCGTCACTATACAGTCACATTAGTTTTACTACATCAAACAATGTTAAAAATGCATTGACAATGCACATTGTGATTATATGAAATATTTTCTGAAAATAAAACATCTCCGTTGTGTTTTATATTATAAATGGGGAACATAAATGCGGGCATTTGTAATGCAGTAATTAAACGATTGTTTTTTTGTTGCCTAGTATTATATTACTGTTAATATTTACTATATTATTTTTATTATTATACATTATCCATTGTAAATAAATATAATTATCTGGATTTCTTAATTTCTTTTTTCCTTTTTTTTTTATTTTACGTTCTTGATACTTTTTGTTTACTTGAGCTATCCGAATCTTCTTGACACATGAAGTAATAGTTTTGATTTTCTTTATAACTTCTTGAATAATGTTTTAAATTCATTTTTGTGAGCGTTAGAGCAGCAACAGATATTGGATTCTGCAATCTTGTGTATATTTCATCCGGGTTACAAAGATTAGATAGAGTAAGATTAAAAGAAGGTTCAATGTTTGAAATATTAATAGATTGACGCAAATGTTGTGAAATAACCCTTGATGATTTCTACGTAACAAAAAAAAATTATCTTTTATAATAATAAAAAAAAAAATGATATTTGATTTTAAAAAATTAATTTGTTAAAATATAATTAAAATAAAAGTAAAACAAAATTTATTTTGTATATACTTGTAAATTCACAATCTGCTCATCCAAATCATTTATAGGTTCTTCTCTATTCGAATCATATTCATTTACTTCATTATCACATTTTTCGTTATATGTATTCTTTTTATGTATATTGTTAGATTTTAATAAGTTTAGTTCAGATATTTTGGAAGCTAACTCTTCTCTGATGCAATCTAAAATGAAGTTTTGGCGATTTTCTATAATGCAGATCTTTAATATAAAGTAAAAAAAAAACAGTATTAAAAAAAATAAATCCCAAAATAAATTTCAGATAAGTTAAAAAATAAATAAATAAATATCCTAAAAAAAATTTGTTGTTACCTAGTTCAAAATTAAGATCGTTGTTTTTTTTTTCGTATTGAGAAGACATTTTAATTTGCTTTTGCATGGTTTCTTCTTTCATATCTTGAAGCGCTTTGTTATGTCTACGTATCTCAAGTAGTTCTTCATGCATTAGATCGCGATCACATACTGCTTGTTGTCTTTCATTTAAGTAGAACATTTTCTCTTCCTTGTGCGTTTCTATTTCTTGTTCAAGCCGAATAATTTTTTGTTTTAATGCTTGTATCTTATTGTTCAACTCCTCATTTTTTTGTTTTAAAACATGTATTTCTTCTTCATAGCGAAAACAGTTAGCCGATACCTAAACAAATCAGTTGTTGTACTGCGTAACTAAAAACTAATTCTAATGCCCATCATTAATTACTAAACAACGAAGTTTAGGATAAAAAATGAATAGCCGTTAAAGCCAAACTTTTACCATTTTATCGCAGTATACATAAAATGACAGGAGTTAATGGTAACACTTGCTGTATTTTAATAGGCTTTTTAAGAATAAAGTTAAATGTAGTGAAAAGGTGATAAGCAATTTGCATAGGACACTATAGGACGGGTGAATAAAAAAGAACTATTGCTTTTACTCAGCGTTTTTCGAGTAGATGATGATATCGCATAATGTAGCTTTACGTGAATAGCATTTTGGTCGAATTTTTATTCATGAAAAGTCAAACAATTACTCAGCGTCTTTAAAGTAAATTGCTCAGCTTTACGTGAAAAAAAATTGAGCAATTTTACTCAAATTTTTATTTTCATTAAAAACGCTGAGTAATAGCAATTGCTTTTTTTTAATTCATCTATTTTTATAAGGTTTTGGCTTTGCTTACCTGGCCTTTAATAATGACTTCATTACATCTTTCTGTTTGAACAAGCTTTTGTTGCATTTTTAGCTCCGATATTATTTTCTGCAATTCATCTACTTTCTTTTCAGCAATATCGGTGTTTTCGTTGGCTTGAATGAGTTTGAACTTTAGTGAATAGATTTCTTTCTTGCAATCAGAAGCTTCCTTTATACTACCACTATTTTGACTTACTTGTTTTGATAAACGTTTTGATTCCATTCTTTTGAAATCGTATTTTATTGCAAGATCACGTATCTGACACATCAACTCCTCATTTTTTTTTAATAATTGTTCATTTTGGTTGGAAAGACGCTCGTTTCTTTCTGTAATTAAAAGTAGACGTGATTGTAACACAATTATTGCGTTTGCTTTTTCTGAATTGTCTTTTATCAATTCAGTAAAATGGAAAGCTTGAAACTGCGATGGTTCTTCAACTAATTTACTGGAAGTTTTTGCTTCTTCTTCCATTATTTCAATTTTTTTTTCCTTTTCTTTGAGCTCCTTTTTAAGATCTTCTAATTGGTTTTCCAAAGTTACTTTTTCTGTCATAGTTTTGGAATACATATACGCACGACTTCGGTTCTGCTCTTCAAGTTTTGTTATTTCTTTAAGAAGGTAGTCTCTATCATGATCTAGAAGGGCTTTTTCAGATAAAACTAAAAAAATATATTATAATTTATTAAAAGGGCTTTCTCAGATAAAACTAAAAAAATATATTATAATGTATTAGGGAAGAACAGGGTTAGTTCTTTAATTTTTTGGGGCCCCGCAAATTTCGGGGCCCCAAAAAATTTTAGTCCTCTAAAATTTTTAAAGGCCCCTAAATTTGCGGGGCCCAGGGTTATAACTTCCTAGCCCCGCTTTGATCCCCCAAAAACATATGTGACAAAAATCCATCATATATTCAAAAAAAGATTTAATAAATATAGTGAACAAACTAAAATAGTTGCTAATATTAAAAAAATTACCTGTCCAAGGCACCGAATTTTTAGATACAGAGCCTAAAACAAGATATTTAAAATATTTAAAGACTATAAAAATCTTTCAGATATTGTATGTTAAATGAATTACTAAAAGTTAAGTTGACTGCAATTATTAACAGCAAAGATGTTGTTAATGACTATCAATATAGAAAAAGTTTGTTAGCAATAAAAATTCCGTATCTATTTCTAACAAAGCGAGCGTTCTACCATTAAACCATTAATATATTTTTAGATTATTATCTTTATAAGTATAACTTTATTTCTATATTATTGCAATTTAAATTTTTATGTTAGTTTGTTATTATATTTTTTGATTCAAGCGTACTTTTAATGTTTATACTACCTAAGTAGTATTCTAAATTTACAACTGTAGATATGGATATTTTAGCAAAAAAAGAATTAATGCATGCAACCCGTGTACCGTCATTCCGTTAAAAAATTTGTTGATGTATGTTCATTGATTAAGCGTGACCTTAAATAAGTTTTTCCTTTTCACAATTTATTCATATTAGTACACACACAGCTTATTTAGTTAAAATTATTAAAACTCTTATAAATAGGTGGGAGGTTTATGAGTAGGAATAGATCTACATGAAATTTTTTGTGATGGAATTTACCTTATAAATTCTCAAGATAGGAATTCTCCGGACGCATTTGTGACACGTTGCAACAAACCATATCATCAATAAAAATGTTTTAAATAATATTTAACTTGCTAGTATTTAATTTACGTTCTAAACTTTTCCAATAAATATTAAAATATTATTAATTAAAAAAATATTAAAAAACATTTTTAATAATTTAAGAATAGTTTTTTTCTTAGAGATTTAAAAAATTTATTTAATGAACAAATAAAGCAGCTTTTTATTTTTTACCTCGCTTGAAAACATTTTTTTTTTGATTACCTTGAAAATAAAATTAAAGTATTTTACTCAATGTTATCAATGTTATAAATAACTGGGTGGAGGAGTAGGGGGATGGGGTCAAAGCATAATTGTTTTATTTTAAACCATTTTTGTGACATTTTCGTAACACTTTCGTTTAATGAGTTTACAACATGTTGAAAATGGGGCGTAATAAACATTGAAGGGTGTAACAACTTCCGTTGCTTGTACTATGAATGTGATTGAACAATTTATTCCCCTAATGATAATTTCTAAGAGAAAACTAATGTAACTAGAGCTTACAGATAAAATCAAAATAAAAAATAACTCCCACTAAAATAATATTAAGGGATGCTTCCATTAAAATAAAATTAAGAGTCTAAAAGTTAGTAAATAAAAAAAGGCTCTAAAAATTTTTAGAATACAACTGACCGTTTTATCGAGTATAAAAAAATATTTTCCAAAGCAAACAAGACATTCTACTGAAAAAATCTTTCTTTTAATTTTAGATTCTTTGATTAAATTTTGACACAAAATCTATACAAAGAACATTAACTTATTGTACTTTGCTATAAAAAATGAAATAGCAATTATAAAATAGCAATTATGAAGTAGAATGTATTTTGTCATATGTAATTATTGTGACTGGTGACAATGTGTTTATTTAAAAGCAGGCGGTAGTTTTCGGGATTTAATACCTAAACATAACAGTTTTGAAACTCATATTTTTTTAGGTTATAGTAGGATGTTAAAAGATTTCAAAACAAAAATTCACTCTTTCAAAACTTATTATATGGACTGTATCAAGTAAAGTAGTGCTTAAGTGTTATATTTTGACCTCTATTACCCTACTTTTTTTAGCAACTATATTATCCAGAAAATTTTATGGTTTTATCTGCACTAAGCAATAAATACCTTAACCTTTTTTTTTTAAATATTGCGTAAGCGTATTTTTTAGAATGAACTGCGTATTTGTTTAACTTTGTTTACAAAATATTGTTTAAATTTGTAAAATTTTTTGCTTAATTTTTATTCACATAAAGCTGACCAATTGCTTAATTTTACGTTAATAAAAATTTGAGCAAAACTCCTGAAGTTTTTATTCACGTTAAGCAGACCAATTACCAAGTAAAAGCAATTGCTTATTTTCATTCACTTGGCTATATAAGTGATATGGTTTGCTACATTTTTTACACTGTACTTCTACGCGTCGTCGCTCAAATTCAACCATCTTATTTTATGACTTTATGAGAACATTATGAACCTGAACTTTATGCCTGTTTATTTTTATGATGCTTTTATACGCGAGTTTTGAGAGAAAGCTTAATTGTTAAAGCAAATAACTCTTGCTGTTTCTATGCGATAGAGAAAAGCGAGAAAATAAAGTTTTGTGCGAAAATTAAGTGTTTAGGTTACAAAAAAACAAGTTTTTGATTTTAAAATATTCCGGTAAAATATACAAATATTGTAATAACTTTTATATATATTTAATCCGAGGTAATTCCCAGACAATATACTAACGATAACTTTATAAGTTACAAAGTTATTAACTAATTATCAGCAATTTAATAATATTTTATATTGTGATATAAAACAGTTTATAAACAACTATATATAGTTATTATATAGTTACTTTTAATGTTAAAATATAAAAAATTGTAATAATAAAAAAATACATACGTGATCTTGTTGATTTTTCTCCAGTAAATATCTCATAAAGATGGCCATGCTCGATTTCTAGCGCTTGAAGAAAATATTGAAAAGCTGTTGGACCACGCATAGCCAAGACATCAAGAAATTTAGAAGATTTTTGTTGACGACTTGGACCAGCATTTAATATTATTTCACAATCTTCATCATCTAAAACCGCGTAACTTCGCAAGTAGCTGAATATAAACTGCCGATCAAGGTCCAAGCATTTAATTGTCTCAACTCGATGTTTTTCGATTAGAGCTCTATAGTCAACTTCATCATCCATTTTATAAATTAAAACCAGTTAGTTACTGTAACTAAATTTAAAAAGCTTATCAGTTGCAAATGTATTTAAGTTAATGAAAGAATATTCATAATTATTCTTTAATGAGTACCGGAAACCATTTTATTGCGCTAAACGTAATAAGAAAGTATTATTTTGTTTTGTTTGGTAACGTCTTTTAACCTAATTAAATTTGAAGAAAGATTAATTATAAACAACAAACTTCGTATTGAATGAAATTGCTTTGTGACGTAGGTATTTTGATCTTTCCGAAAAATCGCGTTTTGTGTTTAAATATCGACTACAATTTTGTTTTCAAATTTTATTTACGTTTTAAATACTAAAATATTATTAACACCACAAAAAATATACAGAGACATTAAATATTAATAAAAACAAATATCATAAAGTTTCGATAATGGTAGATATTACAACTAAATGAATGATATTAGACTTCAAGCAAGTTTTTTAATAATTTTAAGAAATTTTTTAATTACTTACAATATAATAATAAAATATATTTAGATTTAATATTATTTTATAAATATTTAGAAAAATCCTATTTTTATATTTTAAAATTACTTGCTTGACGATTAATACCTTTTTATTTTGATGTTTTAGTTAATTTAAATTAAATATTGATTGATAAATGCATTGAATTAGCGTCGCACATTTGTCTGATCCTTAGAAAAATAACTAAACAAAAAAGATTTTATTGTAAAATATACAATGTATTTTTATGTACAAAGCTTGAATTGTAAATTTATGAATGCTTATTTAAAGTCACAGGGTTTTAGTACGAAACCGAAACTTCGGTTGATTTTTTTGTTTTAAATAAAAAAATGTTTTAAAAACGCTATAATAATAATGATAGGAAATTTTGGTTCAAAATAATATTACATGAAGGATCTTCAAATCTTTTAATAATAATAAATACCTGAGCAATAACTTCCCTCCTTAAAGCTAAAAGTCACTAATTGACATTTTTTGCCAAACCTAACAAATGATACCTTATAACTTGTTTTTTAATTACCTCCAAACATATTTTTTTGTTCACTAGGAGAATAGGTCATTATTTTTTTTATTTAGAATGTCACTATCTAAAATGTAATATAATATTAAACCACGATAATTCCTCAATTCAAAACCCTAAAAATCTAATCGACAGAAGAAAAAAATAAAGTAAAAACTATTACAAGAATTATAAAAAGCAGTTAAAAACATAATTTAGACCAATAAAATTAATCGCTTATATATAATTTGCAATATTATCTTTACGATAAATTATAACACAAATTCGTAAAGTATCAGTTTGTGACGTTTTGTTCTAACAAGATTCTAATATTTGTTCTAACATTTTCAAAGGGATTGTAAACAAAAAATGAAGTAATTAGGCAAACGAAAATAACACTTTCATAAAATGGTTCTCATCAACTTTTTAACTAGATTGGTCTAATTTTCAACAAACAAATTGCTTTTTGCGGTTTTTACCCGGTGCCGTAGTTTTTATGCGCAATCTAAAATCAGAAAAATACTTTAAAAATTGTTAATCCTTGCTCTCATTTTGAAAACGTGTTGCAAATGAATCGCTGAAAATTTGTTTTATTTTTTAAAAAGACAGTTTTGATTATGCATAAATTTTTCATCTTTCGTTTTTTATTTATTTTCTACTTAAGAATAATTTTTCTTAAATTTATTTTTTTGGTGATTTTTAAAATTTACACTTTATAAATAATTATATAACATAAGTATTCGTCATTACATATATAAACACTATAACTATAAAAAATAATGTAATCAAATATTTAACTTCAGTTTCTATTTGCATTTTATTTTAATCTATTTACTTTTTAGTTAATATAATTATTTACAATTGTTTCTTTTTTTTTTTTTTTTTTGTATATAAAGATGACATTCTAAAATCAGTGTCTTTAAAACATTTTTTATCTCTTATAAGTATTTTTAAACAAACTTCTGTTTGGTTAGTACCGGCGTCAGCCAGCTTTTAAATTCCTAATCTACTTTATTTGTAGAGGAGCTACTGAATACAAAAGCTTGTTTAAAAATGACGGATAAAAATACAACTAAGCCGAGTTAAAACTTTACAATTTATTTTTATATTTTGTTATAATTATTTATACAGCATCGCTTCCTACAATGTAAAAATTAACCTAAAGTAAAAAATAAGTAGAATTAATTTGAGGAAAATATAATTACGCGAGTGAACGTAGTTTAAATTTTAATTTTCCAACAGTAAAACAACGCATGCTCAAGTAATTATTTTTGACTTTCTTCTTCGTTTTTGTTTAGAAAGGGATGAGCAGGAAAATTCTTTTTATCGGACTATATAGCGTGCTGGCAAAAATTATGATTTGATTTGTTTATATTAGATAAATTATTCAATTTTTATGTGCTCTTCATTCTAGCAATAATCTTTAATAATAAGAAAATGCAAATTTAAAGGAAATTTTATTTACATGAATAAAGCTAAAACAAGTATTTTGAGTATGAACATAAGACAGGTTTACTCTGTAAGGTATTATAAAAAGCTTTTATAAATATATATGGACAAGACCATATGGTCTTCTGCAAGCTTCCCGCGTTTTTTCGAAAATGAAAAAAACAAAGCAGTATTTTGCCAAACAATTTACTTTTTAAAAACATTTTTGTTGTGCTGTCTTTATTTGTCTATTTGTCATTTTGTCGACGCAAAACAAACACTAGTTAAACAATTAAAAGGTGTAAAAGAAATCTTTTATAATATGATAAAATAACAAATATAAATATAAAAGCAATTAAGTAAAGGGGTTTTAATTAGTTAGTTTAGATCAAGGGGAGAGTAAGAAACAGTGAATCGAGGGACACAGTAAATGAGACATATTTTAAAAAATTAGGATTTTGTTCATCATGATAATATAATCATCTTTACAAAAAGTTGTTGCCAAATAATTTTTGACTACCGGTTTTTGGTAGGTATTTTTTATTTTTTTGCAAATTAAAGTAAATTCTTTTACCTTCTTTATGTTTGTTATAGAGATCATGGTTGAGATGATTTTATAAGTAAAAGATTTTTATTCGGTTTATTGATATTTATGCTTCCCTTTAGTAGTTTAGCTTTTCCTTTTTTAACAATCATATCCCAAGAAATAAGGCTTGAACTTGAACTGGGTACAGTTAATCGACTGTTCGCTGTGCCCCATTAAAAGTCTTGAAGATTAAATTCATACATTTTTAGCAAACAAACTACATGAAAATAACTTTCTTAGATTAAAGTTATGAGATATTGTTTTATTATCTTTTTTTAATGATTTTTAACAACTTTTTAAATATAATAGATAAAACTATATTTGTAGTAGCTTTTTTTTAATTTGATGAAGCAAAAGAATTTTTGAAGAAACATGAAGGATGTAGTGCTTATGGTAATTAAAAAAGGCAATACATTTCTACTGAAAGCAATAATTTAAATTGCATTATCAAGTTTACAACGGTATTTGGAAAAAACTCCATAGTGTGTTCTTGATGAAGTAAAGTACACACTAAACTGCAAATGCCGTTATGTTTTCACTAATGAAGAAGAAACATTGTTAAAAGTAGTGAAGGCTTCCAGGATATATTATGGACTTTTTTTAAAAATTTGGAAAAAAATAAAACTGTAATCCTAATGATATCTATAATGCCGATGAAACAGGTTGTTGTACTATACAAAAAGTACCAAATAGGAAAAATTACTTCAGCAAAGAGGAGTATTCTGGTCACAATGCTTTCCGCATTAAATGGTATGGAAAATTCAATTTCTCCATTTATGATGTTTCCTAAAGTGAATTTTAAAGACTTAATTGTACACGGTGCTCCTCCTGGAGCAGTCAGAACAGCTCACGTATCAGTTTGAATGACAACTGATTTGATCGTTTTTATTTATTTATGAAACAAATTATTACATCAACAAAATGTTCAGTTGAGCAAACGGTTTTATTCATTTTGGACAATCATGAGACAATCTATCTATTAAGACAATTGATCTAGCAAAAAAAAAAAAAAAAAAAAATTGTTATGTTGGCATTGCCACTTAACTGCAGCCACATGCTACAAACTTTATAAAGAACTATCTATGCAAAATTTAAATCCTTCTAAAATCATGCTGCAATATCTTCTATGACGAACAATCCAGGTAAACACATAACAACATATTACATTTCAAGTTTAGTTGATATTGCGTTCCCTTAAGCATTTATGCCTAAAAAAATAGTGTAAGGAACTTAATGTAGAGGGATTTTTCTATTTAATACGGTAATTTTGAGCGATGAAGACTTTCTTAGCTCTTATGTCACTGATCGTCCAATAAAACAATTTATTGTTAATTTCAAAGATAAAAATCAAAAGACTCTCATTATGTCATTATGTTGAACTTTCAACTTCCATATTCAAGTAATTCATTAAACCCCTTTAAAAAGGAAAAACATTAATTTTTAATTAAACAGATACTCCTGTAAAAGAAGAACTTCGCCAAACAAAAAGAATACAAAGAAATTTTACAAAGAAAAATAAGATTAAGCAGAATTCCAAAAAACAATTGGAGCTAAAAATTGTAGCCAAAAAAGCTTGCATAAAGATACCTTGTGTAAGTCCGCCTAGTAAGGCAGACGATGCAACTTTCTCGAGTAGTAACTTAACAGATAGTGAAATGGATAGCATTAGTGGTTTCACAAACAAGATCTTGTTTCAAAACTAAAGTAATTTGATTCCCAGTAATTACGTTTTAGTCAAACTTGCTACTAAAAAAAATTAGTTATTTATGTTGATAAAATTGTTAGCACTAAGCACAGTGAAGACATCGGTGAAAATTCTTTAGAGATTTTGTTTTTTGATGAATTTTGATTATTTTTCTTTATTCTTTTAACAGCTGATGCTGTTTTTGAAGTGTCACTTAAGATATTCTTGGAAAAATATCCAGACCTCTTTTATGTGGAGGGATGCTAGACTTCCTCGTCATTTTATCTTTCCTGTTGTGTTAATAGCTTATGATGATGCAGTCTGTTAATTTTATTTCTTAAAAAAAATTGTTGTTATTTTAGATGATTGAATAAGTTTAAAATTATTTTTTTTTCTCAATTTTCAAAATTTTTATCTTTTATATTTTATACTAATCTAACTAACATAAGTATGGTAATAATATTATGTACTTCCT